CTAGGAAAAAATTTTTTTTCTACTCCTTTAATTTTGTATCCATATATTCAATAAAATGATGTTCACTAAACTTACTGTGGTAATCATTTCATAGTGTATGTAAGTCAAATCATTATCCTGTACAGCTTATCAACTGTATCTCAATAAAACTGGAAAAAATAAATAAATGAGAAGGAATAAACGCCACACAACTACATGGGTGAAACTCACAAATATATAACATTGAACGAAAGAAGCCAGACACAAAAAAAGTAAGAAGCAGAACAAAGTCATGGGTCGGGAGACAATCCATAATGAAAATATAACTAGCACGAACCTATATTTGCAGAGCAATTTTAAAATGAAAAAAAAAAATTTTTAATGGAAAACACAGCAATCGCTACACGTTGATAGATCAAAGCCCACTCAAAACAGTAACAGAGACAGTAATAGATGATCTGATCAAGGTAGATCAGCAAACATGTTCAAAAAGTGACTACAAATGAGACTTCAAGGAAAACCCCAAATTCTGAAAAGCAAAAATCTCTGACCACAGTGCAATAGAATAAGATATAATGAAGGCAGAAGAAAAAATAACCCTATCAGTTGGAAAACTCAAACCTCCATCTTAAAAAACTTTTGACTCAAAGGGGAATTCAAAACCACAGCTGCAGAATACCTAGAAAATAGCACAGATGGAGAAAAGAACACTACACACCAAACTTTTGAAACAGAGACAAATTTGTTCTCAGAGGAAATTTAATCATCTAAAAACTTTAAATTCCTAACAGAAAAGAGTGAAATTAAGCATCTGATACGAGGAGTCAGAAAAAAAGACACAACTGAACATGAAGGAAAGCAGAAATAATTCACAAAGAAAAAAGCCAAAAGTAATTTAATGAATACATCTGAATAAAGCTGAATTTTAAAACAGCAGTTCTCTGAAACAAGAAAAAAAATAGATAAACCACAATGAGAAAGGTATTTGTACCCTCAATTTACAGACAAGACACCAAGGCTCAGTGAGGTTAAATGACTGGCCCAAGGTCACTATCTTCAAGTTAGGGCATAGCAAAGCCTGAACTTGAACCCAGGTCAGTCTGACATCTAGGCACTGGTCCAGAAGTGTTGGCACTCAGAGAAACACCTGCTACTGCGATTATGAGGTCCACGATAGCCATCAAGGGGCCCTGAGGCCCAGAATAAAATATCCACAGTAGGCCCAGGCTCTGTGTGTACCCCTGGGGCTGTGGTGAACGTGCAGGGCAAGTCTGGCCCGGGGTGCACCGCATCAGGTAGGAACTCTACTCTTAACACAGGGTCCGGTGGGCCCAGGGTGTGCGCGGGCTCCGGGCTCCTCACCCACAGGGGTCTGTCTTGAGTCTCCCTAAGCACAGCACTCGCCCGATGGTTCCAATGACCAACGTCATCACTAGTGACCAACTTAAACTGCTACGGCTCCTTCCTTCATGAGCAGTGGGGTCAGTCCCTACCCACCTAGCTCACAGGCACACAGGCTTGAGCTGAACCCTGAGAGGACTCCAGCTAGAAATCTATTTGCAGTCTGCAAAGAGCTACTGGACTATCTCACCTTTTGAATATGCAGTTAACTTATTAGCAAGTAGAAAAAAATTTTAAATAAAAAACTCAAAAAGGCAATTTCAATATACAGCCAGGGATGGACAGCTGGACAGATGTGCCACACATAGGCCTCCCTGCCCAGGGGTAAAATTTACCAAGGACATGGCAAATAAAAGAAACACATGACACATAGCTCTATTTCCATTTTTCCTTCCTTTTCCACCTCCAAATAATGGTGAATTAGCAAGTGAGAAGCACTCTGCAAATGCCATCAAAATCTATGCTCTGTGTGGGATCTTGGCTCCCCGACTAGGGATTGAGCCCATGCCTGCTGCGTCGGAAGCGCGGAGCCTTGACCGCTGGACTACCAGGGAAGTCCCAGGAATATAACTTTTAAAGGAGAAGTTGTAAACCCCTTGGTTACATGAACTGGAGATTTTTAGTAAGAAGTCATGTATTTTAAATGACAGGAAGGAAGGAAGGAAGAAAGGAAAGAAGGAAGAAAGAAAAAGGGACTTCCTTGGTGGTGCAGTGGATGGGACTCCACACTCCCAATATAGGGGGCCCCGGGTTCGATCCCTGGTCGGGGAGCTAGATCCCACATGCATGCCGCAACTAAGAGTTTGCATGCCACAACTAAGGAGCACACCAGCTGCAACTAAGACCCGGCGCAACCAAATAAATAAATGAATAAATAAAATAAAACAAATATTAAAAAAAAAATCTATGCTCTATATTATAAAATCTGATTCAGGAGAGAACAGAAATTGGAGACAGGATTTGTATTGGATTGTTCCTTCTAACCAGATCAACAAAGCAGTTTCCGAGGACCACTGACACATAAACAGACATGATTGAACTGGTCGGATTCCTGTGAACCATCAGGGTCCCAGCACCAGAAGCCAAGGCACTGGGGTGGGTCTGAGTAAAACAAGGAGCCGGGAGGAAGCTCTTGCCAGGAAGAAGCCAATAATGCACCAGCCCCTGGGCCTGGTCCATAGGCTGGTCTCTTTCTTTACATTTATGAGTTACCTCTGTAATTAGTTATCTCTGTAAGTAATAAGTGTTTCTAATACACATTCACTATAACAAATTCAAATGATATTAAAATATGCAAAACTAGTCAATCCAACTCAAAAGGTAACCAATGTTAACTTGGTGGATATCCTCCACGCCTTTCTTCTCAGCCCACATAAAAGTATCAGCAATTGGTGTGTGGTCTTCAATTTTTATTCTACAAGTGTGGGTTGTTGCTACATTATGCTGCAACTTGCTTTCTTTTATTAATACACTGTGGTCATCTTTTCAAGAAAACACATACCAATCTGAGACTCTTTAGTGCCTTCCTAGTATTTCACAGCATAGCTGTGCCACATTTTATTTACCCACCTTCTACAGACAGACGTGTAAATCATCTCCAACCGTCTGCTGTGACAGACAATGCTACAACCCAAGTCCTGGTACGTGTAACTTTACGCTTGGGCCAATACTCGTGTACCACCTGACATTTCTACGAAGCATATTTTTAGTTCGTGCCCAGAGAACTGAAGGGCAGACAGAAAGGTAAGGAAGGAGATGAGAACTGCGACCCTGCCCTGAGAAACCAGCAGTGCTCAGACCCCGGCCTCTAATCAGGCACCCACCACAGGAGGCAGATGCCCTCCAGGAGCGAAAGCCCACAGGGGTGCAGGACCCAGTTCACTCAAAACAACAGACCCTGGTGCCTTCCAGGAGCCCTCCTCCACCTGCAGCCTCCCACCTTCAGCCTGCACGAGGCAGAAGAGGTGTCCCAAAGGAGACCTCTTATCAACAAACCATTCTGCCTGGATGGTAATGCCTCCCACTAATCGGAGTGAGGAAGTGCTCCATCAGGCTGGAGGAACAGCGATTACAGCTGTGCAGAGGATCATGCCAACAACTGCCGGGGTGGCCGTCCTCACTGTCGGCCCCACTTAGATGGGGAAACGGAGGCTGAGGGGTGAAGTACCAGGCCGAGGTGTCGCCCTGCGCTCTTTCTCACTCTATCACGCCATCTCAGAGCTAAGCCACATGCAGGAGGTTGTCTGCTGACACAGAGATGGTTCTTCAACAACTAACCACCCCCCCGCCCCACAAACCACCTTCTCTTTTAAGAAAATAAAACCAAATATTTATTTTCTTCAGAAAATATACTGAAGGTGGGGGGGCTAAAAGGGCTGGGTTGGTTTAAATGATCTCCAACAAGCCCAAAGGACTACAGCCCCAGAACCCATATGCTATTTATTCTCCAAGCCTCAGACTCTAGAGGAAACCCAGGATGGTGACAGTCCCTGGGCCACCAATCAGGCAAGAGCAGGTCTGAAGTTATGAAAAGGAAGAACCCAAAATTCAGGGCCAAGTGTTGCCCAGGGGCTTTCAGAGGGATGCCAGCCCATCATTTCAGCGAAAGAAAAGAGGAACATGTGCCTTCACCTAAGCACACCAACTTTACTCATTGGTTATTTACAATAAACGGGCATTACAAGACCTTCCCCATCCTGAGAGAACTCTGTTCTCACAGCCCCCAGTCCCGTCCCACTCCATCATCTCTCCCCAGTTCCTGAACTATCACAGACTCTGCTGCCCCTTCCCCTACCAAGTCCACATCACAGACCACACGGCCCACCCTGCCCCCGTACCCCAAACTCCCACATCAAAAGCTCATCACGTTGCCTTAAGATCTCTGGAGGGCAGCACTTGGGTAAAGCTGCTCTGGCCGCCGCTAGTAGGACCAACACAGCGTTAGGACTCATACAGGTGGACAAAGGATTACCACCGCCCTTTCTTTTTTCCTTGAGAAGGCAGGAAAGGACTGAAGCGACAATGCTGGGAAACCACATATGAAATGTCTTAAGTACACCTATAAACATTCGTATCTCCTGCTTTCCGGTGGTCACTTCAGGGATGAAACTCACACGTTCAATTAAAACATTCCCGTTACTGGAAAACGAAACTGTTTTCAAGACAGCATTCATCATCTCTCCATCTGAAGGACAGCAGCAAGAAGGAATGACTTTTACTTTCTACTTTGTGTACTTCTGGCGTGTTTGGGTTTTTTGTAACAAGCCTGTATGTTACTGTTACATTGTTTTAAGATCTAGGTAAACTGAGCAATAAAGTAGCAACACATCATCCTGTTTCCGAGCTGACTAGGCGCCATCATCACAGCAACACTGAGAGGCAGGTTCCATCCCCACCCGGCAGATACAGAAACAGAGGCTCAAAGGGGTAAAGGAGGCCTGTTCAAGGTCCAGGAAGGTGTAAACAGCAGAAATGAGCCCTCCTGTCTGCCTGATGCCATGAACTTTAACAAACCTCATCTTCATTCCTCTCAAGACATTTACCTAAAACTCTCCAAGAACAGAACCAACTCAGGGAAGGGCAGCAGCCAGTGATCAAAGGCTCCTGCCGGGGGTATTTACCTTAGAGAGAGGTGGACGGCAGAAAGAGCCCCGATGCCCCCGCCCCGAGGGGAGGCCCTTGGTAAGGTGTCTTGAGCTCCTGGAGGTGAGGGCAGGGGCTGTTTGACTCGGGTCTAAATCTTCCGCATGTAGCACAGGGCTTAGCACACAATTAGAAACGCCAGCATCTAGTAAACAAAAGAGCCCCAGGTGTATAAGCCTGCCTACTCCAACCCCCCAGGCCCTCAGCTAGTGCTGAATCCAGGAACCATTAATAGCTACTGTTTACTGAGAGCCTGCTCGCCTCGTGCCAGGCACCTTAGAAACACTTCAGCGTAGGACCCACTGAATCCTCCCCCAATTCTAGGAGGCAGGCGTTACTATGATATTTTGCAGAGAAAGAGAACAGAGACTCCAAAAGATTAAATAATCTTAATCACCCAGCTTGCAAGTGGAAGAACCTGGATCTGAAGGCAGCTGACCATCAAAGGCAAGGGCTACTCTCCCTCAGGAAAGGAGCAGAGGAGGGGGGCGAGGCATCCCCAACTCTCCCTGCGATTTCTCTCTAGGTTCGCGCTAACAATAACAGCCCGCAAGGGCCAGTCGGCACCTCCCCGGGGCACTCACCTCACCAGAGGCCCCAGCCTGATGAAATACCACCCAGGCGTTTCCAGGGGCTTCACTTCCACAGTCACTTCGCCCACTAGGTGTGATCTCCTAGAATAACCAGGCCGGGAAAGTCGGGGCCGGCGGCCAAGTGGCTGAGTTGAGAACTGAACACAACAGAGCACAGGCCTCCGGATAAATTCCACAGTAAGATGCATTAACAACAAGACTACCAAGGGCTGTAATGCGAGCCTCAGAAATCTCCGGAAGGGCTATGTGAGAACTCCAAACGGAGGAGGCCTCTGAATTCTCTCTGCCAGGCTCTCTGTGCCAAGTACCATCATTTTAGTCGATAAGGAAAATCAAACTAAGATCTGGCTACCTGTGCCCCTCCCCACAACCCCCCCGCCGGTTCCCCCACTGGCCTTACCTAATGAGATGCCCAGGGCCACTTCTGCACTGGGAGTCCACAGCAAACGCCATTTCTGATACACGTGTCCACACCAATCACAGCCTGAGATCCTACACCGACTACAGGAAGCCTGAAACAGTCACTGCTTTTGATTTGGGAAATGCGCATGCCCAAAATGACCCCCAAAAGCTGTCCATTTAGGAAAGCCCACAGTTCAGAAACACCCACTCTCATATACTATTGTATATAAACTGGCACAAAGTTTTTTGAAAAAGAGTTTAACAGAATTCTTACCAAAACGCTATTCAACAGGAAGAGTCCACACTACAGGAACATGTTCTCACATGCTATTATATACAAATTACATGTTTTTGAAGAGAAATTTGACTGAATGCTACCAAAATTGTGTAATATCCCAAAATTAGAAATAGCCCAACTGTCCACCAATAGGAAACGGGATAAATCAAGTAGTTGCTAAAATAAATGATGTAATACATCTAAAAAGGCCCTCGTGGAGCACACCAAGACATTAATTGAAAAGGGCAACCTGCTTTAAGAAGAATATATATATATATATATGGATGGATAATATGCATAAATTTTTTTTCTATTAGGAATCACAAGAAACTTCAAATAATGGTTTCCTTTCAGAGAGACTGGAGAGGAACCCTTATGCATTTCAATACAGATTGAATTTTTCTAACTACTTTTTAAAAAAAGTCAACTGGGAATATCTGGGCCAAGGGATTAAGAACTATTTTTGTTTTCTTCTTCCATACACTTGCATATTTTTTAAAAACCTCCTAAGTATTATTTTTAAAACATTAACAGTATGATAGATCTGTATATGTTAGTACAGAAAAATGCTCATGATAAGTTTAAAAATGAAGAAAGACTAGTATGATCCCATTTTTGCTCTTTAAAAAACCTGCCTACAGTGCTTCCCTGGTGGCGCAGTGGTTGAGAGTCCACCTGCCGATGCAGGGGACACGGGTTCGTGCCCCAGTCCAGGAAGATCCCACATGCCGCGGGGCGGCTGGGCCCGTGAGCCATGGCCGCTGAGCCTGCGCGTCCGGAGCCTGTGCTCCGCAGCGGGAGAGGCTACAGCAGTGAGAGGCCCACGTACCGCAACAACAACAAAAAAACCTGCCTACAAAGGGCCATATTCACATGAAGGATAAACACACCAAACCATAAATAGTGGCTACCACCTGGGAAGACAGAAGGAAGAGCTTTCATTTTTCTATGTACCCTTGCTTTTTCTTTTCTTTTAATTTTTTTTCCCAGTAAGTATACTTTTGTAATTAATTTTGTATCAGAAAGAATCCCACTTTATGTTTCAGGGCAACGTTCCACTCTCCCCAACTATTTCTGAACACTCAGCCCATTCAGTCCCATTGACAGGTCGGCCCTCCCATACTGGCCTGCATGTTCTGCGCGGCCTGGAACAGAGCAGTGCTCTAAGCTCTGAACTGTATGTAAACACCACCTGCCGAAAAAAGCTCTAAAGACACAAAGGAACTGTGGAAAGAGTGCAGGAGATGACCTCCTTTTTCCAGTTGGTCCTGCAGTGAGATTCACCCCCCATTCCACACGGAGATGAGCTCAAAGCACGCTGGGAGAATCAACTCAATGACTGGAGGTGAAGTCCTACCTGCCTCCTGGGTGGCCCCGGCCCCCGCCCCACCAGAGCACTCCCACCACATCCACAGTCGAAGGGCCTGAGACTCTGGAAAGCAAGCTGACCCACCACCAGCGTTCTTCTGTGGCCCATGCATTTCTGATTTCAACTTAGAAACACATTTTTAATACTCCAGGGCTCGCTGACTATTTGCGAGAGGTGCTTGCTTCAAGTCTGCTACGTTCTCCAGAAGGCCTTCCCTGACCACTGGAACCCAGGCTGAGCTGGGCTCGACTTCTCGGTGGGCTCCCACCAGACCCCCTTAAGTAGCCCCATCGCTCATCCTACACGTGCTGACGGAGTGCCCTCTGTGTGAGACACAGAGCACAGGGAGGAACAGAAGCAAAAGAATCTGCTTCATGTGACACTCATTCACTCCACCGGGGCAGAGGGACAATTCAGTAAATTAAAAAAAAAAATCTATTTCCAAGTTGTCGCCCATCGATAGATGAATGGATAAAAATGTGGAGTGTGTGTGTAACGAAATATTATTCAGCCTTAAAAAGGAATGGAACCCAGACACACATCACAACAACACAGATAGATGAACTTGAAAAATTATGCTAGGTAAAAGAAGCCATTCACCAAAGGACAAAGATTGGATGATTCCACTTATCTGAGGGACCCAGGCTAATCGAACTCATAGAGACAGAAAGTGAAATGACACTTGCCAGGGCCTAGGGCAGGGGGAATGGGTGGCGGGGGGGGGGGGGGTGTTTAATAGGTGCAGAGTTTCAATTTTTGCTGAGATGATAAAGTTCTGGAGATGGACAGTGGTTGCACAACACTGTGAATGTACTCAATGCCACTGGACTGTACACTTAAAAATGGTTAAAATGATAAATGTTATGTTATGTGTATTTTACCACAATAAAATAATTGTTTAAAAAACTGTAAAGTTGTGAAAAGAGTTGTAAAGAAAAGCAAGAGGGGGGACTTCCCTGGTAGTCCAGTGGTTAAGACTCCACGCTCCCAATACAGGGGACCCAGGTTCGATCCCTGGTCAGGGAACTAGATCCCACACGCCACAAGTAAGAGTTCGCATGCCGCAACTAAAGATCCCGCATGCTCGCAACTAAAGATCCTGCATGCCCGTAACTAAGATCCCGCGTGCCGCAACTAAGACCCAATGCAGACAAATAAATAAATAAATATTTTAAAAAAGAAAAAAATAGAAAAGCAACAGGGTTAAGAAAGATGATGCAACAGGCAGGTGATGATGGAGTTGGGCTGAGGAGCTCCCGAAGGCCTCTGTAAGGAGGTGCTTGCCTCCCCGCACTGGACCATGAGCTCCTGAGGAACACAAGTGGGGCATCCACATCTGCGCCCCCAGAACAATAAACGTTTAAGTGAAGACACTCGTCCAGACTCATACCAGGAAATGGAGTAAGACCCCAAGCCCCACTCATCGAAAGGCTTGGCCAGGACTGAGACACCCAGAACTCAGTGGTCCACGAAGGAGGCTGCCTTGTGCCCAAGGCTGAAGATGGAGTGACCAAGGAGGAAACTGGTGCTGCCCCAGAGAGAGCCAAAGCAGGGGCCTGCACACCCTCCGACCGGGAAATTCCACTTGCGGGAAATAATCAGCAATGTGAACCCAAGGTTTACGTGCAAGGATGCTCCCTAAAGTTATGGTTATAATAACAAAAAATGGGTAACAACCACCTAAATGTCTAATAACAGAGAATTAAGCAAATCATGGCATATCCATATAACAGCAATTATTAAAAAATCATCTTTTCAGTAACTTAGAGAAACATACTATAACGTTAAGAGGAACTATGATCCGTAAATAGTGTATATAGTATATTTTTCTAATTTTGAAAAAAAACCCATAAAATCAAAGGAAAGAAATACACCAGTCTTAATGCAGGTATCTCTGGATGGTGAAGTTACAGGTGATTTTTGTTTTTATTTTTGTCTTTATACTTTTCAGTATTTTGCAAATTTTTTTTCAGTGAAAATGTTCCTTTTATGAATGGGGAAAAACGCACCGTGCCTGGCCGATGTTCGGCAGTGACTTCTAAAAGCAATACATACTGCTTCTGCACCACCACAAGGAGGAAAAGGCTGGTAGTTTTCTTGAAAGGAGGAAGAAAGGATACAGAGCAGAGCTACAAAACCAGCTGTAGAGGTGAGAGCGGAGAGAAGTCATCTGAAAAAGAATATGAAGGACCAGGACAGCCAGCAACTTTAGACTGCACTTTGCCCACAGACACCTCCTGCTGCATGCACAAGCTTTACAAGCCAACCACGCTGCTGGCACCTTACAGAGCAACCCAGCCCTCAGCTCAGGCCACACGGAAAAAAATAAAACAAAAAAATCAACAAGTACAGTTAAGAACAAACTCGACCAAGACTTTTGGCTCAAGTCACGAGGGCAGGCCTCCCTCCCCGAGCAGACTCCGACGTGCCACCCACAGAGACTCGGTGATATCACCGACAGCACAGCCCAGGTCTTCCACGCTCCCAGGGGAGGAGGCCGGTCCAAATGGCACTTTGTACACCCAAAAGCTTGTCATAAACAGTTTTATTTCACCAGAAGGCTTACCATCTCTCACCTCGCTCCCATCTCCAGCACCACAGGCCACGCCTTTTTTTCTTTGAAATATAGTTGATTTAAAGTATGTGTTAGTTTAAGGGGTACGGCAAAGTGATGTAGTTATACGTATTTTTCTTTTTCAGATTATTTTCCATTATACACTATTAAAAGATATTGAATGTAGCTCCCTTTGATATACAGTAAATCCTCGCTGTTTATCTATTTTTTTAATTGAAGTATAGTTGCTTTACAGTATTGTGTTAGTTTTAGGTATACAGGAAAATGACTCAGTTATACATACATATATTTTTCAGATTACGCCTTTATTTATTTGTTCAAATGACAGACCCAAGGTTCCCAAGTCTGTACAAGCCCCAGAAAAGGATCTTCAGAAAGAAATCAAGTTATGATTGGAAAAGAAGATAGTCTAGTTTGCCCTGACTAAAATATGAGATTTCAGGACACAAACCCCAACAGATCTCTGCTGGAAATTTTATTCTTCAGAGGGAAACGCATCGCTTTAAAATCTAGTGTAGATGGGCCCTATTTAACACCTGCCCACCCATAACAAGATACGCACATTTGAAAGTAGAGAAGCCTCATTATCAAATTTAGAAATACGTGTACTGGGCCAACTGGCCTGTTCTGGTTTGAAACAGAAACAAACATAGAAATGAACAATCCTAAACCAGCAGAATAATAAGACATACAACCAGCATACAGCCATTAGCAACATGAGTCAGTACTTTGTGCAAGGCAAAAAAAAAAAAAAAAAATCTTGAAAGCACAATAAAATAATCCTTCAGGAAAAAAAGAAGTGAAATTTAAAAGGGGGTGGGGGGATGGACCAACCAAAAGGCATAACAAACATCCCGCCGGGCTCCAGGCAACTACACTGCCAGGAACTGGTTCTGACTTGCCATTCCTGAAATTCCTCTCTCCCAAGGTCTTCCGGCTCTTCCTTCCTCAGGCTCTCCTTTTACCCGTCTGCACTTGAAGGAGCCCGGAGAGGACCCAGAATGTTGCAGGGCATGACAGGCCCCTCCACCATGCAAGCAGCATTAGGGAGCCAGTGGTAACTGAAATTCACAGGTAATCAAAAAGGCTTGTGGGAGACGGAGCTAATTCATCACCTCCCCTAACCAACCAGCTAACCAACAGTGCAGAGCCAGACTGAAATCACATATAAAGAATGGGCCAAGAGGCAGGAAGCAGGAAAAGGATGACCTGACCCGCTAGAATGTCGCAGTCACACAGCCAGGAGGAGGTTCCAAGGAGGTTTAAAAAACACAACACAACACAACCAAGATGTCTGTGGGAATGCCAAAATGAACCAAAACAAATTCCCCACCGTATGTCCAAGCAGAGTTGTCTCCAAGGCCCTTTACAAACAAGCTACAGGTTTGGCCCAGAGGTAACCTGGGCCTCAGCCCTCACCCATGACCAAGGCTGGGGTCAGTCTCCCTGAGTATTAGCCTCAGTCCTTCCTATGGTCTCCCATAAACAGCACACACACCCCAGATTTGGCTGAGCAGCCTAGCTCTTCTAGGCCATTCTGGTGCTTCCAGGCAAAATCAAAACGTTAGCTGCGGACAGAATTTGAGGTGGTTCCACCAACCAAGGTAACAGGAGAAAAAGATCAGGAACTAGGAGAAAGAAACCAGAAAACTAGGTAACCGAAAACATATTTTCATCATCCTCCCGTGGACGGAAGTGCTTTGCTGCAAATAGTATGTGAGGCTCCCAAGGGACCCAACAGATACCCAAGGCAAGACTTAATTATTCCCATTTTACAGATGCAGGAGCTGAGACTGAAACTTGTGTACGGTAACCCAATGAGGACCAGAATCCAGGCTCCAAGAGACACACTTGCCCAAACAAGCAAATGATTTTCTGCCATTCCCAAAGGAAAACAGTTATCCTCAAGAGGCAGAGACTCCCTGGGCCTCTGCTTGTTGTCCTTAGCATCTAGTATCTTGTACTTTTCTGCTGTGCCTTAACCCGAGCTGCAGGAACAGACTCGGAAGAGGCAGGCACCTCGGATCCAAGGACAGAGACCTACCACCACACAGCCCAGGTCTATGTAGTCCTTGAGGGCTCCAAATACTGCTCTTTCCCATCCTTGTCTCCCCACAGAGGCCCAGCACGGAATAAGCAAGAACCCAGTGATGTTTTGTGCCCTGAAGTCTTCCCCTGGCCATGCCTTAGCCCAGCACCTGTGGCATCCACCTGACGGCTCAGCACAACGGGTGGCACCACAAGTGGCTAACTTCCACCCTAGGACTTGATGGCAGGCATACAAACAGCCACAGGAGAAGCAACTATTAAGCACCAACTGTGTGGCAGGCCCTCTTCTAGGTCCTTCAACCATCTTCAGGGGGAGGATGCAATGTCCCTACGTATGCCAATGAAGGCTCTGAGAATTCCAGAGTTCTCCGACAGAAGCAGGATTTGCACCCCAAAGCCTGGGCCTCCCCACTCCCACCTTCCACCACAGCACTGCGCACGCTGGGCTAGATGGCTGCAATTGTATTCGAAGAAACCACGCTAAGACTTCAAACGGAAGTAGACTTCAAACCAAAGTAGATTATAATATACAAAGCACGTAAAATGCATACCAAACCTTAAAGGGAAAAAAAAAATCTCAGGGGCAATTTAACAATCCTGTAAACCAAAGCCTTCTAAAGGTTTCTCCCGGGCAGCCATTTAGCAAATGACACACTCCGGAGAGCCTCCCCCAGCCCTTCTCCCACTTCCTTCAAGCGAACCATTCCCCTGAAAAACACCTCCTCGGCTTGCCTAAGGTGGGCTCGGACCTCCCACGATATTTAGAAAGAGGGAGAAAATAAAAGGAAAAAAACGCCTTCCAATTTTATGTAGGCAAATACACTCTTCAGAGACCCGCGATTTCAACAGTGCTAGGTTTTACTTAGAAGGCGGGGGGGGGGGGGGGGGAAAAAAAAAGGAAAGGAGGAAAAAAAAACCATCTGGCAGGCCCTGAGCAGCGACATCCTGTTTATTATTAAACATTTTCAGCAACAGAGCATTAAGTGTTTTGAAAATAATCCTCTTCTTCCCGCACTCAAACCGCGGCCGTCTGGGCGGCTGTTAAACCCCTGTCCCTGGCACACAGGCCAGCCACCCCTGACCATCAACTTCGGGGACACCCGCGGGGACCCGAAAAGGCTAGGCGACTCCACCCCCGACCGCCGGCCCCGAGGGTCGCCGCGACCCCGGCTCTGCAACCCGGAGCCGCTCTCGCTAGGAAGCAAGATGGGGCCGGGCGGCAGGAAACCAGCCCCGACGCCCCCGACCGCCGAGGCATTCGCGGCCGCCGGAATGAGGGGCGGAAAGGCGACTCCGGGGGCTCCGGGGACCCGTCCGCCCCGACGGCCCCTCCCCCGGAGGCCCCCAGCCGCGCTGCGCCCAGGCCCGGCCCCGGGGTGCGGGGGCTGCGGGCCCGGCGGGGGGAGCGGCCCGACCCCGCAGTCAGCCGAGCCCAAGCCGCGCGGCGCCGCCACAACAATGGCGAGCTGGCCGCCCGCCGCCCCCCGGCCGCCCCCGGCCCGGCCCCGCGGGCCAACGGCGGCGGCGCGGGGCGGGCCGAGGCCGGTGTTCGCGGACAAAGGTCGGCCGGGCCCGGGCGCCGCTGTCAGTCAGCCGCCGCCGAGACAAAGCCGGCCGGGCCGCGCCGCCTCCATCGTCGCGCCGCGCCCGCCGCCGCCGCCGCCGCCGCCGCCGCCGCCGCCCCGGCCCCGCGCCGCCCCGCGCCCCAGGCCCACCTGGTCTGATTCCGCGGGCGCGACTGGGCCGGGCGATGGCGGTCGGGCGGCGGTCGGGCGCGGAGGCGGCGGGATGGCGGCGGATTGCGAGGCGGCGGCGCGGCTGCTAGCTCGCTCCCTCCCTCCCGGGCTCGCTCGTCGCTCGCTCGCTGGAGCCTCGGAACCTATGTCTAGCCGCTCGTCTCCCTCTCGCGCTCGGCTCCCCGCCCCCCGCCTGCCACCGCCCCCGCGTCCTCCCGCCTCCTCCTGGCGCCGCCGCCGCCGCCCGCAGCCGCGCCTCGGCCAGCGCAGCGCCCCCTGCCGCGCCTCCCGGGATCCGCGACGCCCGCCCCGCCCCCGGGCCCGTGAGGAGGCTGGGGTCCCGGGAGGGGGAGGGGTATGAGATATGGGGGACCTGGGAGGGGGAGGGGCTCGCGGGAGGGGCCCGGAGGAGGGACTGGAGGGCCCAGGGGACGGAGCCGGGAGAAGGGGCCTGGGAAGAGGACCCGGAGTGGGGGCCCTAGAAGGGGCCCGCGGAGAGAAGGGGGAGGGATCCGTGGGGTGGGGGGGGCGGGGAAGGGGAGGAGGCCCAGTGAAGGGGGTTGGGGCGAGAGGCGGGGAGAGAGGTCCGGAAGAAGGGGGGCTAGGCTGGAGGGGGCCGGGGCGGGTGAGGCCCTGACGCAGGGAGGGTTGGGAAGGGAGGGGTGAGAGCCCGGATCTCCGCCCCCTCCCCTTGCAGAACCGCAGCGCCTGCTCCCAGACCGTGAGCCCGGATCTTGTTAAAATACGTATTTGATGTAAGCATGGAAAGGAAACTGAAGTAATAATACATTGTTACTTCAAAAGCAAGGTTGTTGCACAGTCTAGATACTTTATTCCATTTTCGTAAGATGAAACGTAATAAACCAATTCCCTTGAGTGTTTGTGTATTTGTGTGAATGCAAGACAAAAGGTCAGGGAGAATGCGCTCTGCTCTTGGTTACCTCTGCGGTGTGAAGTCGCGAGGGCTGAGGGGGATACTCACTTTTTAATTCTAGATGCTTTGGCAATTAGGAAAACAAACGATTTGAAAAAGCAAAGACAAAAAGAAACGTATCTGGAGCCTGGAATCCAAATCATTTCTGGCAATTGTCCATATACACCGTAAACACCAACGGTGAACGCCAGCCGCAGGGGAGTGGTTGGTCTCATTTAATCCCAACTCAGTGGCAGATATTATTTTTCCAGTTCACAGGTGAGGAATGGAGACTCCGAGAGGTTAAGTAACTTGCCTGAGGCCACACAGTCAGACCTGGGAGGAAAGTTAACCCATTTCAGCCTGAGTAGGACTACGGTTAAGGTTATGGTTAGCACTGAGCAATGTGCCTGGCACACAGTAGGCGCTCAATAAATGTTTGAATGTAGTTGGGGACTTCCCTGGTGGTTCAGTGGTTAAGAATCTACCTTCTAATGCAGGGGATGCGGATTCCATCCCTGGTCTGGGAGCTAAGAGCCCACATGCAATGGGGCAACTAGAGAAGATCCCGCATGCCGCAACTAAGACCCTACACAGCCCAATAAATAAATAAATATGAATAAATAATTTTTTTTAATATTTGAATATTGTTGAATGGAGGAATGAGTGTCTGGCCCTTGACCTTGTTGGCTGGGAGGTAAGGGACTCTGGAACTCTTTAAGAACCAGGAGGTTACCTCTTTTTATTATCTGGTGAGAGAGAACCAAAAAAAAGATGAAAAGTTTGGAGGGCTTTGAGTGCTCTGAAAGACAGGTGAGGAAATATTACAGATGGCAAGCAGAGAGAAAGTCAAGTGGACAAGTGTTCTGCTCTGGTGGCAGATCGAGAAGGGGAGTGACGCCCTCTGGGGACAGCAAAGGCTGCTAAGTCCGTGGAATTTAAATGGCAGCGGGTGCTTCACTTGTACCACAAACCCCAGGTTTCGTCACGGATTCAGGAAATCATTCTCATTCTGCACTTCTCTGGGGTGACAACAGCCACGATGATGGGTACTGTTTATTGAGCACTTTTCCCAGCTGGGCAGGCTGCTAGGCACTTTACAAGAGATAATTCAATGCTTGGGAGACAGTTATTATTGTTCCCACTTTAGGGTTAAGGAAATCAAGGTCACTAATGGCATGGGTGGTGGAGCAAGGATTTGAACCCAGCAGTGCTACTCTGACGTTTGAGCCTTTCCTGGGGAAAACAAGGCTAAGATGCTGGGGCAGGTAGGGGGGCTGTTGTCTGTGATCTGATGCCGTCAACCGGGGCTGGCACCTGGGATTTCTCTAGGACTGTGAAGGTGCGCGTCTAAGCTCTCCCAGAACTCAGGACCCAGGGAGGACAGAGATAGGAAAGAGGAAGAGAGCAGAGCATGAAGGCTGGACCAAGGCTGGACCTTGGGGTCATTTAGCTCCAAGAGACTGCCTGCGATGTAGAGAGGGACATTCAAGGAGATGGTTTCATTTCATTAAAGTTATTAAAAAGTAAACAGCACTACCCAGGGTTGGAACACTGAAAGGAGGTATGGAATGAGTGCACCGAGCAGGGCAAAGCTGGGGAGAGCTGGCATGAACCAATGGGCAAGAGTTTGTTCAGTTTAGGCTCTTTTTTTCTTCTGCTGCTTTTACATATCAGGAAACTTGCAGCTCTGCCTGTGAGTGGAGAAATCTCTTTGGACCCCCAAACTGAGCCCAAGGGAGAATTTCATCTACCTCTCACAGCAAATTACAGATTTCTTGAATACATAATTTTATTTGTCCCAAAATGTGATCACTGTTTTTTGTTACATTGAAATTTAATATTTTTGCATAATACTTATAAATATATTTCTTGGGACTTTCCTGTTTGTGACACAGTGGTTAAGAATCCTCCTGCCAATGCAGGGGACAAGGGTTTGAGCCGTGGTCCAGGAAGATTCCCACATGCCGTGGAACAACTAAGCCCGTGTGCCACAACTACTGAGCCTGCGCTCTAGGCCCGCGAGGTGCAACTACTGAGCCCGCGAGCCGCAACTACTGAAGCCCGTGCGCCTAGAGCCCGTGCTCCGCAACAAGAGAAGCCACTGCAATGAGAAGCCCGTGCACCGCAACGAAGAGTAGCCCCCGCTCACCACAACTAGAGAAAGCCCGCGTGCAGCAACGAAGACCCAATGCAGCCAAAAATAAATTAATTAATTTAAAAAAATACTTTTAAATATATTTCTTTATTCATGATTTTCTTTTTTAAAACCATGTTATGGCTAGATATGGATCTCCTTTGCATTAATTTCACGTGGAATATGGGAAGCCCCGTCATTGGTCAGATTCAGGTCTTATTTTTCCTTTCACTCCTTTGGAAATTTGCCTCCCTTTATGCTCCCTCCCTTCTCTCTCTCTTTCTTTCTCTTTCTCTGCTTTTTTCTTCTCTAGCCCCCACTGGACACTCCGACATTCCCTCGATCACAGCCCCAGTCTTGCCGATGGTCGTCATTTTTATACATATCTGTGTCCCCTACAAGACTAGGAGCTCATCCAAATAGACTCACTGAATTATTCATTTTTTATTTCCCCAGCACCTGGACCACAATCTGTGACACTTCGTAGGTGCTTCATGAAAGATGATTGAATGAAACAAGAAAAAAAATGAAGGGAGAGAGAATCTTGAGACTCTCAGAGAAAGAATTTGACCTCTGCTAGTGCTCTGTCCAGTCCTGGCCTCAAAAGAAAGCCAGAAAAGCTTTCCCTCATCAATCCACTGCCTGGAGAGTCTAAGATATTACTGGGTTTCTTTCATCCCTCCATCAAGAATACTCCCCTTTTATTGAGCACTTTCAGGTAAGGAAATGAAAACACAGATTCAGTGATTTGCCTGAGTTCCCACAGGGAGCTGGTGACAGAGCTGAGTAGGAAGGAGAACGCACATTTGTTGAGGGTTTGTTGTGGCTGCACCCACTTTCTGTATATCCCAGGCTCTTCACCATGATTTTGTGAGTTAGGGTCTATCATCAACCCCATTTTACAGATCAATCGGTTGAGGCTACCGGATCTTCACCCACCACCGCCTGGCTGTCAGATGGATAGGAGAGCCTCTCTGGCCATCCAGACCTCAGAAAGCTCTGGCAAATCAGTGTCCAACTGAAGGGAAGGGAAGTGGAGGACCACTAGACACTGACCACAAATAGGGAGCCAGCCTTAAAAGCGCTGGTCCACCCTAGAGCCTGGGGGCAGCCCCCGCAGCCTCTCCTGGGGGCCCCATCTAGCTTCAAGGCCAAGCCTCCCTTCAGCCACTCAGAGCCTGCATCTTGTCCACAGCATGGCCATGCACACCACCCACAGGCTCCAGAAAGCACAAGCACAGAGGCCCAGCCAGCTCACCTCAGCTCACCTCCTCAGTGGGTGTCCAAGCTAAAGCCGGAATCAGGCACTGGGTCTATGCCTTTCCCCTGGACTTGCCCCCAGCATGGAACCATGGTTTTAAAAAAGTGCAGGAGTTGGAGTCAGACGGACCTGAGTTAGATTCTGTCTCTATCCTCATTTACTGTGTATCTTTAGACAAGTGCCTCTGATTTGTTGAGCCTCTGAAAATTGGGGAAGAGGTCTGTCGTGAGAAGTTGAATGAGATGACGTATATTGGCTGTTAGCACAAGCTGGCATCTAGTGGGCATTCAGCACATGTTGGTTCTTACTGTTATTCCTTTTTCATCTCAGACACATTGGAGCTTCCCTTGTCAGTGATCACTTGCTATGTAACAAACAGCCCCAAAACTTAGTGGCTTGAAACAACAAATTGTAATTTCTCACCACTTTGTGGTGTTTTGGAAGGGTCTTCTCTTCCACCTTGTATTGACAGGGGTCACTCATGCTGCTGCACTGTCTCTTCCACCATGAGGTGTCTCATGCTCCAGGATTCTCCTTGTGGCCTCTCTCTCCAGCAGAACAGTCTGGGCTTCCTTATAGCATGGCAACTGGCTTCCAAAGGAATGTACGTGGAAGCTGACAGGCCTCTTAGGAGTGCATTCTGTCAGTCAAAGTGAGTCACAGGGCTACCTCAGAACTCCCCCACCCCCACTGCCAATGGAAGGAGCAGCATATGTGTACAGAGAGGGGAAGACTGATGGCAGATTATTTGTAGATAATCTTTCTGGTTCTCAGGACCTTCTGTGCTTCCTCACCCCATGTCTTATCCAAACCTCCACTCATTCTGTCTAACGAAGACATTCCATCTGACTGCAAAAAATATTTACTGAGATCTAGTATGGCAAGACCAGTCACAGTGCTGAGAAATGGCAAGATGAGAAATAAATCATCTGGGACATCCCTAGTGGTCCAGTGGTTAAAAATCCGCCTTCCAATGCAGGGGATGCAGGTTTGATCTCTGGTCAGGGAACTAAAATCACACATGCCGCAGGGCAACTAAGCCCATGCACTCTAGCCCGCATGCCACAACTAGAGAGCCCACGTGCTGCAACGAAGATCTCGGTGCCACAACTAAGACCCCATGCAGCCTAATTAATTAATTAATTAAAAATAAATAAATCATCCCTCTGTTCAAGAAACTCTCAAGTTAAGGGGTTTTCAAAAAAAAAAACCCAACAATAATAAAAACTGATTCATCAAGCTCTCACTACCTCCAGGTGTTACCAAGTCCAAGCTCCTACTGCTTGTGGCAAGACAGGCCAATAAATCAAGACATGAGTTGTTGGGCCAAGAAATAGCGACTTTATCAAGAAAGCCAGCAGACCGAGAAGATGGTGGACTCGTGTCCCAAAGAACCATCTTGCCTGACTTAGAATTCAGGCTTCTTTTGTACCGAAAGGGGAAGGAGTAAAGTCAATATTTCCTGGTTCAGGTCAGCCTCCAGGAGGGTTGTGTTAATTTCTTCCTTCCTGCAGTCATTCTCAGGTGGGCCTGATCAGGATGTTTCCTGTGAGCTAAATAAAGATATTTTAGCTTAATGATCATTACCTGGGAGGCAGGGTTCCCAGAGATGGGCCATGATGTATAATTTAAGCTTACAGGCAACATCCCTTTAGTGATCAACCTGTAATAGAATACAAAGTTTCTTTCCTATTACATAGGCATGGGCCCGAGCTGGGTCTGAATCGTTGGAGCCTGGCTCTGAGCTGGTCTAGTGCATCCTCCTGGCCCAGAACTGCAGTAACTTGCAGTACAATCCAGGAATGTGAGGCCTACAATTTGTGCAGTGATTGAATGTGCCAGGATTCCTGGATGGGCCTGCTTTCATACTCTCTGCACCTGTTCTCCAAAAGGCAATTGTACTAATGACAGAGAGTGTGAGTCCCAATTACAGTTCAGAAAATGTAGTCATCTTAACTGGAGGGAAAAAAGAATCCTGTTCAGGGGAGAAATCGGTTCCAGCTGGGGAGGCTGGGGGGAGCCTTCTTGGGGCAGGTGCTTTTGACACCAGGCTTTGAAGGAAGACTGGAGTTTCATCAGAGGAGACTGGGGAAGGACATTCTTGAACAAAGGCCTGGAGATGGGAGCATCTGGGCACTGGGAGGGGACCACGGGCTGGCTGCTGGCCATCAGAAAAGTGGCCACATCCCAGGGAATGTGCATTCCAGTAGGAATGGGAGCCTTGAGGTAAAAATACGACACTTGGATCTGAACAGGCAGCAGGGGGGCCCAGCACAGACCTTGGCACGCACATCAAGGTGGACAGCATCTGGGTCTCAGCACCTGACACAGGTGGGCTTAAAAGCAAGGTCTCCTCTGAGGGGCTCATGCCAAAGGGAGTTCAGGACAGGGAATGCCGGCAATTTCTCTTCACATCACACCTGAGTCTTAGGAATGTGCCCTCCATTTTCCTCTAAGGAGAAAGACCCAGGAAAAGGAGAGAGCCAAGACTGGGGAATAAAAGAAGTGTGAGGATAAGACTTAAAACTTGGCAACTTCGGGCAAGTAAAAGAAATCACCAACTTACACAGCGGAAGATGTTGGGCACCTCATTCCATTCCTTCTGCTCAGCACTCGGTGTGATTGTTTTCCTGTATTATTTTATTTTGTATTGAAAATTTCAAATGTATATAAAAGTAGAAGGAATATTATTATGTCAGTGTATATCTCTAGAAAGGTAAAGATCTTTTAAATCAGGGGCTTCCCTGGTGGCGCAGTGGTTGAGAGTCCGCCTGTCGATGCAGGGGACGCGGGTTCGTGCCCCGGTCCGGGAAGATCCCACATGTCGCGGAGCAGCTGGGCCCGTGAGCCATGGCCACTGAGCCTGCGCATCCGGAGCCTGTGCTCCGCAACGGGAGAGGCCACAACAGTGAGAGGCCCGCGTACCGCAAAAAAAAAAAAAAAAAAAAAAAAAAATCACAAGACCATGATATCATAATCACACCTAAAACCCCCAGCATTTCTTTAACATTGTCAAATACCTCATGAGAGTTCAAAGTTACCTGATTATATTGTTTCATGAAAACAAAACTTGGCAACTTTGGCTGAGAAAAGGCAGTGAAAAATTATTGAGGGATATGGCTTGGGAAGCAAAAGGAAAGAAAAAACTCACTAAGGAGGCTCCTAAATAAAGGATGGGATGGCGAGTACCAGAAAGGCATCCCACCTGCTCCCCTTCTGTACCAATGGCAGAGTTCCCAAATTGTGGACCTCCTTCCCAAGGAACCATGTCAGAATCTTCCTCAACATGGAGCCCCCCGGGAAGCCATACCAACTGAGGGATATGACACGTGACGGGGAGGTGAGGATAAAGGTAGAATAAAGGAAGGTCACTGGCAAGAGAATTTAGGAATCAGGTCTTGCCCTCTGTGTCAGGATCCCAGAAATGTAGGTACTGGAGAAATAATAGATTTTAAAATATAACTTTCTATCATGAAAGGGAGAAGAAAACCCAAAATGGGAAAACAATATTTGCAAACTATATATCTG